AGTCACTGGGCATGAAAGTGGAAGTGATCTCCAGCTTCTTTTGCAAAGCCGCAACCAAACTGTCATGCAAGCTGCTACTGGATTGACTCATGTTCACAAGCTTCGCAACATCACCGAGCTCCGACACAAAGTCCTCGCTGGACCATGACATGTCTCCGAAGCAACAGACTCAGGCCTGGGATCTACACAAGAAGCTTTCAAGCTCAACAAACAGCTTCCCACATGCTCTGTTGAACTGGAAGCATGACAACACAACCGCAGCCATGTTTCATGCATGCTTGCTTCTTGCCTAAAGGACCTACCATGTCACTTTGCAGGAAAGAAACCGAAGCATTTGCTTTTCCTCACATAAGCCAAAGCCTGCATATCTGGACGACTGTACAAAGAACTACACAGAGACGTTCTTAGTCCATCTCATCTAAAGCAACCGCCCTTGCAGCTTGCCTCTGTCGGGCATCACAAGTCTTCTTGTGGCCAGTGCCTTCCTTGCAGCGAGAGCAGCAGTGCACGTGATAACCATTGCACTTTCGGGAGCACGTCTCGCAGGTTTTCCATCGAGGGACATCCTCTGGATTCCTCGCATTGCACCGCTTGGAATGTCGAGCAAGCCCTTCTCGACAATTGCTGCAGCAAAATCGGCCACGGTTGGTGGTGCGACAGCAGCCAAGGCTTTGGCAAGGAAACAGCCCAACATCGGCCATGACTGCTTCTTGCAAGCAGACCGGGCAGCCAACTTCGAGAACAGGAAACTGCTGCACGGAGAAAGACAATCCAAGAGGGCTGCACAACGTACAAGCAACAGGATCCCAATCCAACAGAGTTATTTCTAATATGCAGAATGAGAAGAACATGCAGCAAGAACATGCAAGCCTCCTTGTCGTGTTCCTATGTATGATAGAAGAACAAGTAGAAGTAGAAGACCTGTTTCTCCCATGCAATCCAAGCTCAATCATGCAAGGTCAGGATCAACAAGCAACCTTGCCATGCATGCTCCAAGCAAGGTTATCAAGGCACATGCAAGAGAAACCATGCCCATGCATGCCAGCAAAGAACATGCATGCCAATCGTGCCTTGCATGCATGGCGATTTTGGGTTCAGGGTTAAGGGTTCAGGGATGAGGGCTTGGGCCTTGGGCTTTGGAGTTTTTAGATTACTACTAGTCATAGCTTTGTAGCACCAAAAATCAACATTGCATTGGGGATCCCAGCTCGCTGCTAGGTTTCTCTGGGCTGCAGCCACTGCCCCTAGGTGTGTGGTCCGAGGCAAGGGCTGTTTTGAATCTGTGGGATACTTGAGAGCAACAAGCAAGAGAATTCAGTACACTGAATTCTCTCCTGCCCCGGCACCATGAGAATTTAGTGTACTGAATTCTC